ATCTATTATTATTATTATTTGAAAATCAAATTAACTTCATTAATTAAAATAAACTAAAATCAACTATTCCCCAAGCCATGAAGGGAAATCAGAGTAACCAAACCCCTACAATTTCATTGGTAAGCTTTTCACCTATTCTCTTGAAAATATATATATATATATATATATATATATATATATATATATATATATAAATATTTTTTTTTTGAATTCTTTGTTAAATTTCAAAACAAAAACAAATTTTTTAAATTTATTTTTATGGGTTCAAGATTTGGCCTAAATTTGAAAATGTTTATAAAAACTATAAAATGGTTATCAAACCGGTCTAAATTTTCTCCTTAAACGTTAGTTTCCCATTTTGTCGGTGTTTAACATTTCAAAATCGTAAGAATAATGATTTATTTACGATGCTTGATGTTAATTAAAATTTTATTAACATCAAGCATCGTAAATAAATTTTTAAATAGTAACTTTATTTTGTATGAAAATTAATTTTTAAATTAAATATTCTAAATTTTTATGTTAGATTTACTTTTTAATATTCTTTATACATTTTATAAGCCAAGGATGATTTTATTTATGTTTTAGAAAAAGAAAAATGGAAACAAGAATAAGAAGAAAAAAAACTTGATTTTGTTATTTCTCGTAAGAAACATAAACAATTACCAAATGCTTATGCCAAAATAAGCATATCTTAGTAATAATTGACATAATATTTCTTAAAAGTTAAAAATGAAGAACAAAAAAAATTACAAAATGAGTCCTATATTGTTCCGAGAGTTTCTCCCTCTATTTTAGAAATAATAACGATATACGATCAAGCATGTGAAACATATAAGCAATAGATAAGAAGCAAATATATTGACTAAGAAAATGAAAACAAGATAGAGAAATACAACGCCAATAAGATTATATACCAATTGAGTAAAATGGTAGAGAAAGGAAACGAAGAAAAATTTAAGTAACAACAAAGAATATTGATAGTTTTTAATCAAGGTAATTAAATATCTTGGACATTTTTCCTATGTTAATGAGTTCAACATCGATATAAGGAGTGAATCGCCCCTTTATGTCTTTTTATCAAAAGACACAACTTTATATGAAAAATGTGACTATTTGAATGTCGACAAATAGCCTATAAATATGTGGCTCTTTTCAATTTTGAAATATAGAAAATATTCCGTCAAAATTCTTTTCTACGATTACTTAAGTTCGGGTGTTCGCTGAGTCTTGTGATTGAAATGTTGTACTCATAGGTTGGTAATCCATCCTATCATAGGAGATAATTGTTGAGGAAACTTTGAGTACCATAAAGGAAACAAAATTGTCTTAAGAAACAACGCTACTGTTGGGCTCGGATTGGATTGGTTTAATTTTTATGTTTCCTTAGTTTTTCTACATATTTCTCCAACAAGCTTAATATTAATAATTTTTAACTTATTTAGAAATGGTGAAATATCAATTTGGTAATTTAAATATTTTTTATGAATTATATATATATATATATATATATATATATATCGATATTGATATTTTATTGATATTTTCATCGAAATTTTCATAAAATTGAGATCTAAAAATTTTCATCAATATCGAGAATTAAAACATTTCTTTCTAATAGGACTTTAGAATGGTCCCCTAGAGAATATCACACTGACAAGTACTTGTGACTTTGTGGTACCACCTATCTTTAAGGAATCCGAGTTATAGATATCCACTAGCTAAGTCCCACATAATCAATTCTTGAAAATCAAAATCATTGAAAATCAAGTTCAAACGTTGCACTGGAAAATACAAAATAGTGTTTATAAGCCTAATTAAAGACCAAAGAAAACCAAAAATAATAAAATAGCTAAAAATAGATTTAGGGTTTTGTTGTTGTTATTATATTGTTTTAAATTTCTAAATGGGAAATTGCTAATTATAAGTGCATATAGGAAAGGCTTTAATTTTTATTTAGAAATAGATAGCACTCTAAGAATAAACTATCCAACAAGCTCTCATTGAGAATTTAAGATACCATATGATGTGAACGCTCGTAAAAAGCAACATAACATAAATTATAAGGTTGTTGGGAAAAAAGAAATAAAGAGACGAATATTTCCTTTAACAGTTCCAAAACATGTTCTGGAATTGTAGTGAATTTTCTTTTTCTTTTTAACGGAAAGAATCCGCATATGAATTTGAATTCTCATTAAAGAATATTTGACAGATCGAATCCGTTTATTTTTGTTACACGAATCAAAGCCATTTGTTTATTTTAAATATATGTATGGGGTAGATGACAATGTCAATTACAGTTGAACTATGCTATATACTTTTTATGGTTAGATTATGGGATTTGAATTCGGTTGAGATTTTCCATTCAAAGTTATTTATTTATTTGTGATTTATCATTATCATTATTTTCCTTTTGAGAAGTACAAGTCAATATTCAAGGGAAAGATTGAATTTTTATTTATATTTAATTAGTATAAACGTATTATTTTAATACAAAAAATGTGATATTGGAGAATTGGGCAGTGCAAACTTCATTCTTTCAATTTTTGTAAACCCTAAATTCACTATTCAAAATTGCAATTGTATTTCCTTTGTAGTGGTATATTTGTGTGGTTGAATGTGCCTTTACGTTTTTGGACCACGGATCATCAGCAAAAGTTCCCTTTACTTTTTTTTTTTTTTTAAATAAAATGCTTAGACAAAGTTCACGGATCAAATCAAGAACTTTGTGAAATACAAGTAAATAAATATGACGAGTTTAGAATTCAGAGATCAAATTTGTGATGTACCTTTTTATTAATATAAATATAAATAAAGTAGATTATTGAATAGATCTTAGTCAGTAAGTTCTTAGGTTGTGTAGTTAAGTATTCAATAAAACTTAATAATTTTCTCGGTTATCAAAAATTACTCCCTCCTAATTTTTCTTAAACCCTAAATTTATTCACAATATTCAAAAATAGAATTGTATTTCCTTGTGAAGTTATATTTGTGTTGTTGAATGTGTCTTTACGTTTGTTGACCACAGGAGGAACATTTCTTTTAATTTAGTGTGATGTTCGATAATTCTTGCAACGAACAAGTACCATTCCAAAGCACCAAAATTATGCCCCTAGCTAGCTAAGTATTTTACGTAACATTGCAATTTTGATTGAAATTTTTTCTGAGATTGATGTTACTGTTAATCCAACAACAATCAACTTAATAGCTAAGACATTATACCTTCTTATTATTGAATTGAAATCTAATGGAGACCAATTAAATAGATCTCATCTAATAAAATATAGTTTAAAATTAACGTGAAACTCACCTAATAAAATAATAAATTAAGTGATAATGTAGCAAGGTATAAACCATAGAAGTTGGTATTAAAAATTTTGCCAACTTTTTTTAAATATAATAAGAGATTCGAAATTATGATCAAAGACCAATTACTGCTGAATTAAATTCGTGTTTACAAAATTTCATAGAGTTCAAAATAGGCTAATATCACCTCCCAAGTTATTAAAAAAAAACTTTTAAAAATTCAAATAAAGAGTAAAAACGTAAATTAATGGGCTGCGCGGTGGGCACGGCGGAGCAAACTTTACTCTTCTTTGAAGTAAATTACCTTTATTTTAAAGCCGTGCCTATTTGGCATTTGCCACCAAAATAACCAACACAAAATTCGACCATTTGCCCTAATTCCATGATTACTGACTCCTTGGCCGTCTTCCTCCGCCGCGGAATCGCCCCGACGCCGCCCCTCCCGTTGGCGGCGTTCCGCAACGTCTCTCCGATTCAATCGAACCCGAAACACCGGAACCGGTTGAATCGGGTTGAGACAATAATACGGTGCGGGCGGGTGACGAGGCCGCGACGGTCCGGTTCTGATCGGAGCGGAGGATTTCCTCTTCCGAACACTACAACGGCGTTGAAGACGCTGCTGTGCTTCACTGTGGGCACCGACGGCTGGGCGGCGCCGGCGGAGCATTTGACGGCGATAAATCGAAAGAAGGTTTGGTAATATGCGATTGAATAAGTTTTGAAGTGGATTTTAAAAGATAATTGTGGATATAGAAAAGAAATGGTTTTTGAGTTATGATTTTTTTGGTTGTGAGTGGGCAGAAAGAAGCGCTGCAAAAATTGATGGCAGAGAATTGTGTTGAGGCAGAGAATATAATGATGCGCGTGTACGAAGAATACAAATGGGATAATCCCCAGACTCGATATGATGCTGCCTTAGCGCTCGTCGAATTTCTCATCCACCGGGTATTTTTACACTCACTTTTTTCTTCCTTTCTTTCTCTTTTTAGATCAATATATATATATATATATATATATATATATATATATATATTTATATTTATATTTATACTTTAGTTAAGGTTAGATTCTTTTCTCTGGTTAAAATTAGAAAATTAATCATTTCATTGAACTTAACGCGTTCAAAGTTTAAAATTGAAATTTTATATAACAATTTGAGAAAATACTCAAAGTTGGATTAGAATTTAGAATATATGTAGCTATTTTATTTTCTGCAAAATTTTAATGGATAATTTTATTTTTGTTAAAAAATACATTTCATCTCTATCAGATTTATTCGTCTTACTGAGTCAATTTTTATTATATAATGATTTAGTTTTTGCAATTTATAAATACATTTGGTCTGACAAATTTATCAAACTACATATATAAGAAATTTTAACAAAAAATTTAACGATAAGAACTAAATTGTTACACACTTTAAACTAAAGAGATTAAATAGTTATAGTTATATATTAAATTTTAAAACTAAATTATTATCAAATTGAAATTACAATGACCAAATCGTTATAAATTAAAATTCACAGACTAAACCGTTACTTTAATGAGAGTTACCTGTGATTTTTAACCTTTCATTTTTAAAGTATTTGTAAATAACTGACTAAATTTAGTAGTTGAATATGTTTATTTTCAGGTGATAACCATGAATTAAAATGAAGGGATGATTTATTCTAAAAAAAAATGAAGGGATGATTAACCAAAGTATTCAATATCCATAATTATTAACATCTATATGTTAATAAGTGATCAACTTTCAATTAAGATTTTATGAGTATTTTAATTTTTGTTATATTTATCATCACTTCTTAATTGTTCGGAAAAATATTTTATCTAAATAATATTTTATTTACAGTCATCCGTATCTAAAGTTTTTTCCTTTGCTCTTTTAAATAATTACTATACTTAACAACTTAATATGAGATTAAGTGAGAGGTAGAATTTAGTAGAAATCAACCTCCACAATAATGATAAAAAGAATATTTTAATGGGTAGCATAGCTTTTTTTTAAATATTTATAAAAATATTTTTCTATAAATAAAAAGCGTTAATTATATGTGGCACTAAATACCTAGGGTGTGTTTGGGGTGGTTTTGACGTTCTCAAAATCACTTCCCTTCTCACGAATCCTGTTTGACAAATTAAAAAATTGAGTTTAGGAAAGTTTGAAATCACTTTAAATTAATTTTTAAGGTATCACTCGATTTGTGAGTCTTGAAAAATCAATTATACTTAAATTTATTTTTTCAAAATTACTCATGCTACCATCTCTCTAACACACTCTTACAATGATTAACCTATATTCAATTATGTACCTTGATTAACTATAATAATCAATATATACCTTTATTAAATGTAATTATTGGTTAATTCTATCATTGATATGTTTTAACGTTTTTCTTTATTTGCACATTTTTTAGGTTCTATATTTTGTAATTTTTTTTGTATATTACGTCAAAATTGCAACTAGTCTTAAAAAAATAATTTTAGAAAATATATTAGAGTGTAACTTTTATAATTTCTCAGTATAGTATAGATGCATGCTCTTTAAAATTATAAATGAAATAATTTCTGGATTGGTTCGATATTATATTTGCAGAATGAATATTGCGTATTTGGAATGAAATATTGGTTAACATGTTAGATATTTTTATTACTATGTTCATAAAATTGAAGGGCACAACAGTAATATAAAGCTAAACTTATTGATGTTTGCATTATATAGTAAAAATACTAGTAGAATGTAAATAAAAAAAAAATGTTTGCTTTATTCTTACTGTCGATATTTTTATTGTGCATTAATTTTAATACAGGGAACGAATGAAAGCTGGGAAAAGGCTGTTGGCCATTTAAACGATCTTGAACACATGACCATGAAGGAAAATCTTCCAAGTGATGCGAAGCTTCCCCTTTACTGGGTAAACTATTTCATTATTGTAAATAATAATAATTATTATTATTATTTGGAATAATTAAGCTCCCTCTATTTAATTGCTCTGATTAACAAAATTATATCGTGATACTCAATTTTAAAAAAATTGAAATTATTATATCTCTTCCATGTTCAATCTTGATATTTTTAATGTGTTTGATCTCTAAATGACGCCTTGATAAAGATGAGATAAAAATAAAAATAAAACGACAGAATAATCACTTTTTAAAAGTATCGAGAGCATCGCTGATGTTTCAAATAATTGACTTGATGCAGGCTATTTTACTTACCTTGCTAGACGATCGCGAGGCTAAAAAATCTTGGAGCTATTACACAAGCCACATAGGCACTGGCCCATTCAGGGGTTGATGGTATTATTGTACCATATATATCTTTTTATATGGGGAAAAAATATTTATATTTTTCATTCTTGTCCATCTATTATATATTGTTTTTGTTACTTTTGAAATAATTTCCACTCGAGTCCTTGTACTTTCTCCAAATTTGTCTTTGTAATTCAAGTACTTGAGGTGAAAAGCCCCAATACAAAAGTTTATTTGACCCAAAAGCCCCATTATATATATATATATATATATATATATATTTTTTTTTTTTGTAGTTTAGACCCAAATTTAAGTATACTTGATAGATCTTTGCTCTTTCTTTTTAACTTCAATGGGCCTTCAACTTGAAATATCCAACTACATAAGATGAGCTAAATCAAAATAAGACCATGTTTACACATTTCAAGTAAAACTTTGGTTAACTAAAAAATTTGGCTCCTATGATACGGACATAATTTCAGTAAAATTTGGTTCGTATGACTTCGTTAAACTTCACACGAGTCGTCCCTAAATTGTCTTTTACTCCCTCGAAAAGTCCACAAACTCCTTTTAGTTTTTATTTAACTCTAACCTTCAATAATATGGTAATGAGAGGAACGATAATATAGGAAGATAGACTAATCTATAGAAATCAAATTGAATCTTAAAACTATCGAGATCAAATTGAAGCTAGGACCAAATTATTGAGACTAAATTTGAAATCAAAATCAATTTTAAATTGTTGACATAGGATCACCTACAACATAAATATACAATAAAAAGTCTTGAGGATGAATAAATCACCCCTCAACCCAAAAGCTTAAGCTGATGGATTGAGTAAATTTAATTCATTCATGAGTATCTCAACAAAAATAAATAAAAAAGATGGACATACCTAAGAATTGGTATAACCTAAAAAAGAGCACACGAGAATAAGAATAGACAGGTTCTCAAATTATTATCCTAATTCTCATAACGAGTATTGCCAAAGAAGTACGAAGAACCTAACCGTCTCAATTCATTTAGATATTAAGAAACTAGTCGGAAATGGTTACACATCTCAAAAACAAAGAAAGACAATTTAGACGACAGAGAGAGTATTGCTTATTTATGCACACAATATTCAATCAAACGAGATACAGTTATACGATTACGCATACACATTTATACTTTACATATATATCTATCTGTATGTGGTTTAAAATAATGAAGTTTGTAGATGTGGCAGAGTAGGAAAGAGGAAAATTTGAGTGTTTATATGTTGGTTGGTTTGAAGTAAAGTAAATGCATGTAGATATGTACAATGTTGGGTAGAGTACATTAGGACAAACAACAACTAGCTCCCCTTATTGATTGCAATCCGTTTAACATTATATGTATAGTAGCTTGAGAAAGTAAACCCTTTAAATGTGGATCCATGTCCCCTTCTGCCTTCTATTTTGTCACTTTTTGTTACAAGTTTTTATAAAATCAGAATTCCCATGCTTAATTCCTTACTCCATTAAAAGATCCTAGTATTTTATGTTTTTCACTCAAAATATTTTGCATCAAGTTGCAAAAACATTGCCCTCAAATTTGTAGTTTGCCACTTTTATTCGATCATATTACATGTTGATGCAGATTTCTGTCAAGTGTCGAAAATCGACGAGAGCTTTTTTATAGCGAGCTGGAGAAGCTCGACGGTAGAGGAGCGTAGGAGCTCAGTCGTGTATGAGCTTAGGGACTTGGTCGTAGATGAGCTTAGAAGCTCAACCATATCTCACAAAGTCTTATTTTTGCCCCCAACATTACACTACAAATTAGAAAAATGATTTAGCCTTACAACTCATAAAAGAGAAAAAAAAAATGTATAAACCCTCCTATTATAATTTGGTCAGCAATGTAGGAGTTTCCTTATTCGTAAATGATATGATTTAGATTTATCCGAGTCATTCAAATATTATATAAAACTATCAATATTCATTGAGTTTCATCTTAAAACCAATTGTCAATGAAAAAAGTAGTCAAAGGTAGTTCTTTTTTAGCTCATAAATCTTAATCTCGTTTAAATCTTGATTCGAGAAAAATAAGATTCCTCCTCGATATCGAAGAGCGGATATTTTGGTGTGTGGAATGATCTAGTTATTATAAAAGTTTAATGGAGAGTATTGGAATTATTAGGACAGTTGAGTTTGTAGAGCCCACACGTGTAGAATGGAGAAAGGAGAAAGGGGGGTTTTGCAATTTGCATATGTCATCCAACTGAGCTCACACCTGCCAAAATTAATTGCAAATGGGCAGGAGGCGCATCAGTGAGCCATGAGCTGCAGTAACCGTCGCCCAATGGGCGCCTCACGCATGCCCCACTCCATGTGATTCCCCTCACTCCCTTGTGTCTCGCATCACGCCCCTCCCCTTCCCTTCATGTCCTTCATGTGTCCCAATTTCCTTTACAAACCCAAACAAAATTTCCCACCTGGAGAATCTCTCTAAAATATGGATAATTGTTACATATATCCTAACTTATCTATCTTAAAAGTTCATGAGATTTCATCTCAAAATCTACTGAGAGTAGTTTTTGTCTGTTATAAACTTTTGCTAGGTCCTTTATCCATTTTTTCAATGTGGGACTCTTAACATGTCCTCTCAACATCGTTGCTTTTGGATCGGATGTTTGTTTGAGATTGTTGGACTTTGATACCATATTAATACTCATGGAATTCATCTCAAAGTTAATTGGTTTTGAGATGGAACCCCATGAATATTGATATACTTCATGTGATTTCATAATAAAAGGCCTCGGTACTTGTGGAATTTTGTGCTAATTTTCAAACCCACAAGTAAAGGAGACAATTATTTGTTGAATTTTGTGCTAACTACTATTGAGCTGAGGATCCTACATTAAAAGGATAAGAGACCTAACAAAAAGTTTATAATAAACATGGATTATTCTTTTAGTTGTTAATTGATTTTGAGTTGTAGCTCCATGAATATTGATATGGTATCAGAGCTCAAAAGCTCAGGATCCGGTTAAGATCGAAGAGCAAAAGAGTCACGATCTTGAGGGGACATATTGAGAATTCCACCTTGAAAAGATAAGAGACGTAACAAAAACTTTATAATACACATATAGATTACTACTATCATTACCAATTGGTTTTGAGATATAACCCCATGAATACTGATAACTGCTAATTTCTAAGCCAACATGAGAAATACACATAATCTATAATCTTAAGTTTTTGTGACGGATAATAATTCTACATGAAATAAGAGTAAACGGTCTTATGTTTAAATTTATATAATCACATTGATATTGATAGTCACTTGTTGAGTTTTGTGCTAATTCCTAAATGAGAAATGGAATGTTAAGTATATGATTAATTAAAGATACTCTAATTACCTATCAACTTAAGTTTTTATGGTTTTTTTTAAACGGAACAATATTATCCACTTTCGACTTAAACCGAGACGAAGATGGAAGATGAAAGGAGTAGAATGGTGCACATGGAATTGGATTCAAGAGGGAGAAGAGTGGCATATGGCATGAGTGAAGCAAGAGCACGTTGCATGAAGAAGGATGGACGCGTGGCAGCCCCAGGCGCAGGCGTAGGGATAATATTATTATTCTTCAGCCAAATTGGTACCACTTAATTGGAACAATTGATTAATTTTGGGACAGTGTGGTGGAGATTGAGATGCCATGGCCATCGAAAGACGATGGCTTCGGTAAATGGATCCTAATTCTGAGCAATCTGCACCTTTCTCAGGGAATCACTGATTCAAAATTTGACCATTTTCCTACTTCTTCACCAACCTGCTTCCACGTGCTATCCTCTCATCAATTCATTCCAAAACAAAACATGAACCCCACTTCAAACTTTTTTGGAATTTGCAAGTCATCGTTTTCAAATCAACTTCTTCAGAATAATGTCCTTCCTCATGGAATTATCCCTTCCCCTGGCATGATTTCGTCTAAATTCAAGATGAAAGGTAGATGAATGAATCGATACTACATTCGAAGGAATTTTAAGATTTTTGTTAAAAGAGAATTAAAAGAATTGATAGTGACTATCTATACTAACACACAGTGTACTTTTACTTTCAACAACTCATCTATAAGAACTTCAATGTGAGGTCCGTTCGACTTAAAAGCAATTTTAGGTTAAGGGATCTTCGAAGAATTTTTCTAAAAAACATGTGAATAAAGATAAAGTATGCTTAGAAGACCCTATGTTGGTCTATAGGGATAATCTTTACTCTTACGAGGGACGTGAGACTATCAAGATAAAAATATTCTTAAATGTCTAACTTTTGTTGAGGTATTTATAAATTAAAGAACTTTTGGGTTGATTAATAATTTAATAGGGTATAGGAATGTATTGTCATTTCTTACTCATTTAATATTGGACTATCACAAGTTTTCAAGTCTACTTATCCATCCGTTTAAGATTTTGAGTTTACTGATAATTTAAGAGATAGGTATAACAACTGATCTCAAAAGCACTTCAAGTGTTTTTGGTTGGAGTACTTTAATTTTAACCGTTAAAAATTGAACAGAATATGTTTAAAGGAATTGATTCGTAATCTCAAAATTATTATTATTATTATTTGGGTGATTCTTTCCTTTTTCTAGAGAACTTCTTGCACCCATATATTTGTAGTTTTCTTTTCCTATGTTTGTCATTCATTTGTAAGAAAATTATTGAAAATGAAGTGTCAAAATAGTAAGATAAATTATATTATATATAGTGTTATTTTGGAAGCTGGGCCATGGCCCCTGGTGGCCATATGCACCTTCAAAGTGTGGCTTAACAAAATTATCACATACATTGAATCAAAATATCGCATCTTCTCTTCGTGGCACTCGATCAAAATTATTGTGGACTCAAATGCATGGCTTCGAGTTTTTCTTGCACATGGAACATGGTTTTTTAGAAAAAGAAAAAGAAAAGAAAAATCTTATACATCTTAAAAACATAATATGGAATTTAAAATTATTTAATGAACGATTTAACTTTCACGTAGCCGATATGATATTCTTACGTACTGTTTCACAACATATATATGTCTGGCATAACACAATTGGTTAACGTACATATCTTTGACTAAAATGTGTAATGAGTTCGAATCCTTGACCCAGACCAAACATGTGTTAATTTTTCTTGGATGTCCCACTTTTTTCCAAAGTACTCTAACAAAGAAAACGCTAAAGACTATTTATAAATCGATTG